AGGGCTGATCTTCCTCACAAAAAAAAAAAATTAGGCAGGGAAAACAACAACAACAAAGAACAGATAGGGCAAATAGAAAACATCCAGCAAAATGGTAGATTTAGAGCCAACCATACCAAAAATTACATTAAATGTAAATGATGGAAATATCCCAATATTCCATATGGATATAAAAGCAAGACTTACCTATGTACTATCTACAAGAAACTTATTTTAAATATAAATACACAGGTTAAAAGCAAAAAGATATGCCATGCAAATACATGACTATATTAATATCAGAACAAGGAATATTACCAAGGATTAAGAGGGACATTACATAATTAAGGAGTTAATTCATCAGGAAGATATACCAATCCTAAGTGTGACTGCATCTAACATCAGAGCTTTAAAACACATGAAGCAAAACCCAACAGAGCTGAAAGAATAAACAGATTCACAATATGGTTGGAGACTTCAGAATTCCCTTCTCAGTAATTGGTGGAACCAGTGAACAAAAAATCAGTACAGATATAGGAGAGCTGAACAACAATTTCAACCAAACTGATCTAATTGATATTTATAGAACACTTCACCCCAATATAGCAGAATATACATTCTTTTCAAGAGCACATGGGACATTCATCAAGATAGAATATATTCTGGGACTCAAAACAATCCTCAACCAATTTAGAATAACTGAAATCATACAGAGCATTCTGTGACCAGAACAAAATTAAATTAGGTATTAGTAACAGAAATATATGCGAACAATCCCCATGTATTTGCAAATTTAATGACATACTTCTAAATAACCGAGGGTCAAACAAGGCCTCCCCTCCAAAAAATCAGAAAATATTTTAAATAAATGAAAATATAACACACAAAAATTTGCTGGATGCAGTTAAAGCAATATTTAGAGGGAAATTACAACATTATACACGTATGTGGGAAAAGAAAGGTCCCCAATCAGTAATCTAATCTACTACCTTGAGGAAAAAAGAGAGCAAATTATACCAAAAGCAAGTAGAAGGATGGAAGTAATAAAGATGAAAGCAAAATCAATATTCAAATGATGAAATAGATCAGTTATGTAATAGGAAAAAAAGTAGAGAAAAAAATCATGAAATGAAAACTAGTTTTTCAAAAACATCAATAAAATTGATAAATTTCCAGGTAGATTAACCAAGGAAAAAAAGAGAACACACAAAATCTTAATAATGGGATTGAAAAAGGGGCCATCAATACAGATCCTACAGACATTACATAGATGTTATTATGAACAACTTATGCCAATAAATTTGGTAAACCAGATGAAATGGATAAATTCATTGAAAGACACAAATTCCAAAGATTGCTCAAGAATAAACAGATAACCTTAATATCCCTATATCTATTAAGGAAATTGAATTTGTAGTTAAAAACCTTCACACAAGAAAAACTCAAACCCAGAGGGCTTTATTGGCAAATTCTACCAAACACTTAAAGAAGAATTAATACCACTTCTATATAAACTCTTCCAGAACACAGAGGGGAAGGGAACACTTCTGAAGTCATCTTATGAGGCCAGCATTATGCTGATACCAAAACCAGACAAAGACATTACAAGAAAAGAAAAGCACAGACCAATATCCCTCATAAACATAAATGCAAAAATTCCTAATATCAAATCAAATCCAACAATATGTAAGAAGGATAATACATCACAATCAACTATGGCTTACTTTAGGAATGCAAGGTGGGTTCAACATTCCTAAGTCAATCAAGGTAACTGACTGTATCAACAGACTAAATGAGAAAAACCACATGATATCAACAGGTGAAGAAAAGACATTTTAAAAAGTTCAAAACCATTTATGATAAAACCTCGCAGAGAATAAGAACAGAAGGGAACCTCCTTAACCTGATAAAGAGTATCTGTGAAAAACCCACAGCTAACATCATATGTATCAGTGAAAGAGTGAATGCTCTCTTCCTAAGACTGGGAACAGGGCAGGAATGTCCACTCTCTTCATTCCTATTCATTATCACACTGGATGTCCTAGCCA